GGACTTAACAGAGTACTCGGCATGTCATTAAGTGCTCAATAAATGATTCTCCTATGATTACTATTACTGTGTTATATAATAATATTATGTATTCCATAGTATCACTGCTACTAGGTGAGTGGAAGATTTAGTTGGTAAAGGCATGAATGAATGAGGTGACTTCAGTTTAAATCCTGACTTTGGTCCAGAGAGGAGTGAACTTTAATATTCTTTGTCCCATGGACTGGGAATGATTAAATGTGTTGCAGTATTATTTTGTTGTTGTTTCTGTTTTAGATGAAACCCAACAACATGGGCAGGCTTCAGCCAAAAGTTCTCCCAATTCTTGGATAAGGATTCATCCAGGTGTGTTACAAGGTGAGGGGTTATGGAAACTGACTTCCTTTTTCTGAGTTGGTTTTGACTCCTTGGTGTCCTTCCTGTGGATGAATCATAAAGACACAAACAGATTAAAAATAAACATTGAAAAACCAGTGTGCTGAAGGGAATGCAGAAGTTAAGTCCCCAGGATTACATCAACAGTCTAGAGTGAAACCACCCAGAGTGAAACTGGTCAGGAGGCTGGGAAATGAAGGTGAAATTGATAGACTATGAAGTGTCTGAATGTACTGAGGGGAGATTTAGGTGGCCAAGGAGAAATTTGGAGATAAACTGTGATAAGTACATAATGAAAAAAAAAAAAAGGCAAGAAAACAGGCAGATTAAAAAGAGAGAAAGGCTTAGTTCCAGGGATAGCAAAAAGTTTTACAAGAAAACAAAAATACCATAGTACCCTCCATGGCTCACGGCAGTTGTGTTGATGGTATAATGCTGATTAGTGGTCCAAACCGAATCACAACAGAAACACACCGGGAGGACGAGAGACAGAAAGTGTGTGCATATGAGAGACAGCCCAGTCCTTAACCACTCCAGGTAGGAACTCAACAGACAATGCCTAACACTGAAAAATCAAAGAGCACCGTGGTATTTAGACATTAGAAGGATAACAAATACCAAAACCATCAGTTAAGAAAGTGGAAATGTGTTGCTGGAGAATGCAAAGGAGGTCCAGAGGGGTGCAATTTTTTGTAACAAGCTTTGTAGAACTAGTTATTAGTTAATTAGCATTTGCGTTATGCTTTCCATAATCAGTTAATTGAATAGGCACTTATATATTACCTTGCATCAGGCACTGTTCTCAGTGCTTTACGTATGTTAACCAATTGAATCCTCATAACCACCTTTTTTTTTTTTTAAGTTTATTTATTTTGAGAGAGACGGAGACAGCGCGAGTGGGGGAGAGGTGGACAGAGAGGGAGACAGAGAATTCCAAGTGGGGCTCCACACTGTCAGTGCAGAGCCGGACACGGGGCTCAAATTCATGAAACTGTGAGATCATGACCTAAGCCGAAACCAAGAGTTGGACACTTAACCGACTGAGCCACCCAGGCACCCCTTCTTTACTTAATTTAAAAAAAATTTTTTTTTCAACGTTTATTTATTTTTGGGACAGAGAGAGACAGAGCATGAACGGGCGAGAGGCAGAGAGAGAGGGAGACACAGAATCGGAAACAGGCTCCAGGCTTTGAGCCGTCAGCCCAGAGCCCGACGCGGGGCTCGAACTCCCGGACCGCGAGATCGTGACCTGGCTGAAGTCGGACGCTTAACCGACTGCACCACCCAGGCGCCCCTTTACTTAATTTTTAAAGGATGAATATATATTATTTTAATTCAAATAAAAACAGAAACATTTGGAAATCAGTATGAGCTTTTAAGAGGATTTATTTCCAACTTTATGGGTATAGAGAGGCCAAGTCCTAAAATGAAATCAATTTTTTGTATAAGCAATTGACTGAAGCAGAATGCTAAACACACAGTAGCTGATCATTAATTCCTTCACCAAAAATTCACTGAATCCTTACTACGTGCCAGCCACAGGAGCAGGTACAAAAGGTTCAATGCTGAATGAGACAAGGTCCTTGAATTTGTGAGACTTATAGTACAGAGAGGGAGACAGATAATTCCATCACTAGAGTAGGTCATATTCAATGGAGCAAACTTGGAAAAGCACAGAACACAAAATAGGCAGTCACTAGTGCAGTCTGGGGAGACTTTCTGGAGGTAGTGATGCCTGAGCTGGCCTTTCAGGATCAGGTAGGAGTTAGCCACATGAAAAAGTTGCTAAAGCATATTTAAGGAAGAGGAAAGAGCAATGAATACTCGTTAAAATGAATTGAGTTGGTTGCCGTCCTCTTACATTCTAAAATATCAAAATGTCAGAAATAATAGTATTCATAAGCCCCTCCTAACCTGAAACATTCCACAGCCCAAACCAGTGGGGTGCAAACCATGCTGCTACATTCCGGTATGAGTGGCTATTTCTCTAATCAAAAGAAAAAAATAAATTGATAAAACTTTCTTCATACTGAATTTACTTCAGACTTCTCTTAAGGGTGCCTAGGTGGCTCGGTCGGTTAAGTGCCTGATTCCTGGTTTTGGCTCAGGTCATGATCTCACGGTTTCATGGGTTCAAGCCCCACATCGGACTCTGAGCTGATGGGTGGAGCCTGCTTGGGATTCTCTGTCTCTGTCTCTCTCTGCGCCTCGACCACTCGCGCTCTGTGTCTCTCAAAATAAATAAACTTTAAAAAAAGTTAAACAAAAAGAAGACTTCTCTTAAAAATAGTTAGGCCAGGGGTGCCTGGGTGGCTCAGTCAGTGAAGCATCTAACTTCGGCTCAGGTCATGATCTCATGGTTCGTGAGTTTGAGCCTCACGTCGGGCTCTGCACTGACAGTGTGGAGCCTGCCTGGGATTCTCCTGTCTCTGTCTCTCTGTGTCCCTCCCCCACTTTCTCCCTCTTTCAAAATAAATAAATAAACTTAAAGATATAGGGTGTAGCTCAGGCCGTAAAGTTTGACTGCTGGTTTCAAATCATTGTACTGTCTACCAAATGCAAGAGCCTGGGCAGCAGTCTCTAAACCTCTCTGAGCCTCAGTTGCCTCCACTATAAAGCGAGGCTAATGACACCCCATAGTTTACAGGAATGCTGTGGGAACTAGAGAATACACGGATCATGCTTAGAACACAGCAAGGACCTGACAAGCACAATGCTATTGTGTGCCATTGCTCAAGGTGATAAAACAAATGAATAAGTAAAAGTTATAATTAAGAAAAGAATTAATTAGTAATCGAGTTGTAATTTCTTAACATATTATGTGTTACTTGAAGTTACCAAAGTTTGTAGATATACTGAAGATTTAAATTTCATGCCAGACCTGTATTTTGGGTGCCGGAATTTAGAGTGGTGATATGTTTACGGGGTTCTGCCAAGAGCAGTATGACCTCTGGCTGTCCTGTCCGCAGCACATGGGAGAATCAGGGCTCTGAGCTCAGGAAAAGGCCTAGAGCAGGTCAGCATCTGATCAGCTGCCAGTCCATTTGCACTTGAAACCAGCCTCTTCTCCCTCCCTAGAGCAGTAATCCTATAAAACAACTAGATGCTTTCTCTAAAATGGGTGTGCCCCAAACCTCCCAGTCCAGAAAGGAACAATGTACACTTGACCTTTGAACAACACAGGTTTGAAGTATGTGAGTCCACTTCTACGCAGACTTTTTTCAATAAATACACTTACAGTACTGAAGAGGTATTTTCTCTTCCTGATGATTTTTTTTTAAGCTTACTTATTTATTTTGAGAGAGAGCAAACAGGGTAGGGGCAGAGAGAGAGGGGGAGAGAGAGAATCCCAAGCAGGTTCCACGCCATCAGTGCAGAGCCTGATGTGAGGCTCGAACCCTTGAACCACGAGATCATGACCCGAGCTGAAATCAAGAGTCAGTCATTTAACCTCCTGAGGCGCCCAGGCGCCCCTCTGATTATTTTCTCAAAGCCTTTTCTTTCCTCTGGCTTATTTCATTTTAAGAATACAGTATATAATACATATATAAAATATGTATTAATTGACTGTTTATGTTATTGGGAAGGATTCCAGTCAACAGTAGGCTGTTAGTAGTTACATTTGGGGGGAGTCAAGTTACATGTAGATTTCTGACTGTGCCCCTAAACCCCGTGTTGTTCGAGGGTCAAGTGTAGTTCCTTGCACTACTTTGGGCTCAGTGAATTTTCATGTTAAAAAAGGTCTAAGAGCTCTGAGGAGAGGCATTTGACCATGATGTCCTCTGTGTATGTCAGGGAAAGCTTCCTGGAGGAGGAGACATCATCTGCATGGACTCTGCAGAAGTAGCAAGGGCTGGCTGGACAGAGGGGTTAGGGGCGGGAGGGGGAATGGCATTTCCTACAGGGGAAGAAGCTTGTGCCCAGCAAGGCCCAAAGGCAGGAAGAGCTCAGCCTCCTGCCATAGCTGCGGGGACACAGTGTGGCTTGAGAGGTGACTGGGAGTGGGGGTGGGGCTACCTCGAGAAGGCCTTGTGTCTAAGACTGAATTTTAACCCTAGATCCTCAGGAGATTAAGGAGAAACTGCAGATTTTAAGCAAAGGAACAGCACGATGAGCTACGGATGTTTGAAAGGGACCCACGAGGGGCCTGGGTCTCGACTCTGGTGAGCCTCAGCGGCCTCCTTTGAAAAACAGGAAAAATAAAATTCACCCCACAGAACTGTTTCTAGACTTGAATGGGACCATGGACTATGCCTAGCACGGGGCGAAGACGGCTTCCTTCAGTTTCCCTTCCGGTATTTGTAACAGGAAGAGGGGGCATGCTCTTCTTCAGGCTATGGAAAGCCTGCCGTCCCCCCACCCCCCTCCCCGTCCTTAGTGACTCTGAAAGAAGGGTCCAGGGAGACATCTTCAGGCCCAGGCTACGCCCCGTCTGAATGCGAAACTTTAGGAGCTTAGAGACTTTCCCCCCGCAGGTGAGAATTTGTGTCTTTTTTGGAGCTTCACCGTTTCAGTGCCCTGTGGTGTGTGAGAAGGATTATGCCTGCCACAAGAGGTGTAAAACCCGGCCTTCCAGAGCCCAGAAAACCAGGGAGTCCTTCCGGGCTGGGCTAGGCCAGGGATCTCAGGCAGCCAAGCTCAAAGCGTCCCGAATGCGGGAAGCAAGGAGATTTATGAAACAATAATACGATGCCTGTTGATTATTGACAGGTTCTATGCCGGGCTCTTTGGTTGCTCCACGTAGCAACCATCCACATTTCTTACGGCCAAGGAAACAGACCCAGAGAACGTAGGTACTTGAGGATGCAGGGCAAAGATTCAAAACCCCGGATCTTTTTAGAGCCAAAGCGCCTTCTACTGCTTCATCGGCCATCAGGATTTTTAAAACCCAAGTATGATCCAAGTATGATCATGTGGTTCTCTTGTTAATATCTTTCAGCAGCTCCCTGAGACTTAGAAAATTGGGGCGCCTGGATGGCTCAGTCGGTTGAGCATCCAACTTCGGTTCAGGTCGTGATCTCATGGTCTGTGAGTTCGAGCCCCA